CAAATTAAGACATATGACTCTGAGGAGATATAAGTATCTTACTTTGTTAGATGGTATAAGACCGCCAGTAGGTAGATACCATGATAATGATATTCTTATATGAGCTAACATTGGTATCCAAAGGATTGACCAACTTAGTCTGTAAAGAAAGGAATTTGATCTGAGCAACACAGCCAATATATGGACCTTAATCACGCGGCGGCCATCTTAAATCCCAGAGGATTTAAAACCTTTGTTTCCGCATCTGAAACCACGCGTAAACTCGTTTTGAAACATCTGAATGTGAGGCTTGGGGGACCTTGGGGAATAAAAAGCTATTGTTTTTACCAACATGGCGGGCTGTGAAAAAGGCCCATAATGTGGTTTCCAGGTTGGTTGACATGTTAGCCATTGTGTTGGTTGGGTCAGATTGTTATACCTTTACCATGTGCACTATAGATAGCAAAAGGAAACCATGGAAGGCTTTACCGCATAATGTGAGACAGATACCTCGCACCTTAAAGCTGTAATCAAGGTGTTAGAATTTTCGAGAGTTTTCTTTAAGCCTGGTTGCGAATTTATGTATCTCAAATTAATTTGAAAATAAGGCTTTAATGTAGATAGTCGGCCTTTATTAGAAACTATTTTTTACATGAAATATACAGTGGAATCCTGATTTCTCAAACCTCCAAGGGAAACGAAAATCGGGAGTTCGGAATATCTGGGGTAAAATTATTACAGTGAAACAAATTCAAGGGAAATGACTTTTGGTTCGAGTTATTGGTTTTTTTTTTAGAAATCAAGGGTTTGAGAAATCGGGATTCCACTGTATCTCATGTATCATTCACCTTTTTGTTATTTTGACAAAATAATATCCCAAATATCACATATTCCACCAGGCAGTTCATGGTTCATGGTCACCATATTGTACATGGGGATTTAATGAAGGTGTTCCCTCAAGAGGGCAATATTGAATCATTTTAATCCTTTGTAAGCAATATTATCTAAACGGTTGTATGATTTTAATGTAAAAAATGAAATACTCAAGAAACTAGATGGAGAAGATTCAAATAGAAAAATTATTTTGTAGAAAAGAAAAAAGTAATATTGTTTTGTTCATAACAAAGCAACAGAACTTGCAAGAAAAAAGTATGTTTGGTAGACCCCACAATTGAGGACTAATGGTCTTTGTAGATACATTCATGTCCTTCAGGGTTATTCAATGGCCTCCTTCATATAAACCATTATTTCATTAGTACAGAAGTATAAACCATTTCACTTCCAATAGTGCCCAAGTTTAACATGTAAGTAAATTTCAAATTCTGTTTTGAGAATGTTGCAAAACAAGCAGTACTACACAAAAAAGTACTGTTCAAAAGCTTTCATTTGAATGGTCATGTTTAGGGTTCTATCTCAGAACCACCTTGTACAGCACAGTAAACAGTACCACATGAAAGTTCTTGGTAGCTTTCATCCACAGATGGTAGCTTGGTAGCTTTCATCCACAGATGTAAAAGTTATATTTTATACAGCTTAATAAACTACCACACAAAAGTACTGCTCAATTAAGATTTAATTTGAATGGTAACATCTAGGGTTTCATACACAGATATTAAAGTTATAGTCACATTATACAGCATAATAAACAGTACCACACAAAAGTACTGCTCGATAGCTTTCATTTGAATAGTTGCACTAGGGCCTCATCCACATTCTTAAACATTAAAACCTTATTTAAGGCTTGACTCAGGAAGTGAAAAGGGTCAAACAATGTAAACTGTCTTTCTCTTAGCAGTCATTCTCGTCCCCAGAGGCCATGATCCTTTTGGTCAGCACCAAGAATCGAGACCTCTGGCCGGTTCCAACACCGGAAGTCCGCGAATAGTCCGCGAATCTCGGACTTCCCGTCAAATCTGGCAAATCTGATTGGCTGAGAATATAGAGCGAGTACTCTGCGCATGTTCAACAAATTGGTTCCGGCCAGAGGTCTCGATTCTTGGTGCTGACCAAAAGGATCGTGGCCTCTGGGGACGAGAATGCTTAGCAGTGGAAACCCAAATGATAGCTCGCCAAAATCATTTCAAACCTGCCTGATGCAATACGTGGTCTCTATTTGACAATCACTAAATGTTAATCTTAGGGTTACACTGTACTTAAATGTAAACATATTTTTAAGGATCCAAGACGTCATAAAGTACTTTGCTTTTCCATGAAGTGTTTGAATTTTAATAAATATATAAATGACTACTTCCTTTTACATCAGAATCAAGAATGCCAGAATGGTAATTAAATTGAACCCCCGGGGGGTACTCCCTTATATAAGCTAGGGTATGTGCGGCGCCAAAGGGTATAGTTTTTGAGCCGTTTTGGTCTGAAAACGGGTATAGATTTTGACCATTTTGGTCTGAAATAGGGTATGTTTTGCCTACTGGTCTGAAATAGGGTATAGATTTTTGCCATTTTGACTTTAAAATGGGGAAATTTTCCCTGAAATTTTAAGGGTCAGGTCTGAAATAGGGTAGGGAAAATCACATATTTTGGTCTGAAATAGGGTAAGGGTTTCAAGAAGTGTGAAGTGTGCCGCACACCCCCACCCAAATTTTTGGGGAGTACCCCCCCCCCCCCCCCCCCGGATTGAACCTAACAGTAGGAAAGAGCAAGTCTCATAAATTATGTTCATGTATCGGTAACCCAAGTTCTTTGGATGTATTAAATGTATTTTTAACAACATATTATTACCACTACTAGTAGTACATGCAATTTTGGTGAGCTGGAGCTGTCATGTTCTAAGTCATCCAACTCTTTTAAACCAGACCTGTCAAACTGTATGTAGGAACTCGGGAAATCTGGGCATTTTACAAAATGAACCCAACCCACCTTTTTTGATTGGACGAGAACCATGATTGACACTCGTCAAAACACTGTAACTCCTTGGGAAACAAAACTGTAAAATAACAGCTTGAGCAGTGGATTTGCATTTGATCTGGTAGAGGGGGTGATATTCAGGCTAATAATCAGGTTGTGTGTTGTACAACCACAGCAATTCAGTGAGCAGCGTATCGGGAAACTTTTTTTCAGTTGCAGTCTACAACAAAACACTTGCCTGGGAAAACTCACTGTTTCCTGTGGAGACAGTCATCAAGCGGATGGTGTAAACCGCAGGTTGCAGGTTGCAGGTTGAAAAAAAAAATTAAAAAAAATAATAATTAAAATTAAAAAAATAATTAATAAAAATTTAAAAATAATAATAATAATAAAAATTAAATAAAAAATGAATAAAAAATGTTCCTTTTTGTGTAAATAAAAGAAGAAGAAAAAAAGAGTATCTTGGAAGATTTATTTTATTTTATTTTATTTGGCTTCGCCTAAGATATATATAACAAAAATAAACAAAAAACGGAATAAATATTACAAATAGGCAGGGCAACCACAACAGCATGGCCAATTACAGTTGATTTAGAACTGGACTGGACTCTTAATATGAGAATTTGCGGAATTCCAAAGTTGACCAGAAGACTTCCGAAGATGTCCGAAGATGGCCCGAAGATATCCGAAGTTGACCCGAAGATTTCCGCAGAAGATCCGAAACGAGAACATCTGAAATTGTTCCTCAAATTCTCATACTAAGAGTCCAGTCCAGTTCTAAATCTTCCAAGATAATCTTTTTCTTCTTCTTTTTTACACAAAAAGGAACATTTTTTATTCATTTTTATTTTATTTTTATTATTATTATTATTTTTAATTTTTTTATGAGAAATATTAACGTGGATAAAAGCATGACGTTTCGACGACTCCATGTCATCATTTTCAAATGCAAATTTTGGAAGTTTTACAGGTATATATATAAGCGGATTAAAGTGTGAAAATGTGAATAATACAATGCAGCGAAATTAAGAGTAAATAATACAAGAAAGATTGTTCATAGATTAAAACAAAAAACAAAAGGAAAAAAAACAAAAAACAAAATTAAACAAAAAGTTTTGCGCGAATTGAGTCTGATTGAGTGTTCAATTCCGGTCTCTTGTTTTTTAATAATGTGGAGCATTTCGTAGATGAGACATTCCAGCTTCCCGCGGCATTTCTTTAGAACCCTGAAATGTTCCTGCAAATTTGATGGTGTCTCGTTGTGCTCATCCCGAAGATGTTTTCCGATGGCGGAATATTTATGTTCAGCAATGCGTTGAAAGAGGTGTCGGCCCGTGTAGCCGACATAACTTGCATCACACAAGTTGCATTTAAATTCGTATACAACACATTGTTGATTCACCAGAGGGGGGCTTTGTTTCCGTTACTTTCAGATCTTCGATAAGTTTCCGGCTTGTGAAAACAGGCTGTAGCTCGTTGTTGATTTTTAACGCAAGATCACGTAGATCTCTACGTACAATGTCTGCCGATTTCTGATTCTTAAAATTTTTCTTAAATTTTTATTAATTATTTTAATTTTTAATATTATTTTTTTAATTTTAAATTTTTTATAATTTTATTTTCAACCTGCAACCTGCAACCTGCAACCTGCGGTTTACACCGTCCGGTCATCAAGTGCATAATAAGGGCATTTTATTTCTACGATTGCTTTCTTTCACTCATGCTCATCTTTTCCTTCGCTCGTCCCCACTAATTTAGAGCCTGGACCAGACTGCATATCTGGAGAATTTTTTTCAGGTTTGATTTGTTCAACGGCTTAGGTTGCTGTAAAACTACAGGGATTTATTTTCCTTTTTTAATAAATAAATAAATGGACAAAACAACCACTTTTAATCGTTTATGCAAACCCAGTTTTATTGTTTATCAGTTTAAACATATTATAATGATGTAAGAATACAAGTTTTGTATTTTAATTGAGTTGGATATAACTTACTTCCTGATGCTTAGCATCAAATTGCTGTGTATTTAATAGTAAAATCTCTGTCTGAGACAAACAATATATCTTACTATTTTAAAAGGGGAACATCGATCATTATAATGGATAAATAAAGTTATTCAGCATGTCGCAAGCATGGGATTACAAAGAAAAAATCTCAAGTCCCCAATAGGAATCAGAATCAAACAAATGACCTTCTGTACACTGGTCAGATGCTCTACCACTGATCTACAGAGAGACTTTTTCTACACTGCAAGCAGTTGCCCTCCTTTTTTTAACAATGATATGCAATGCAAATCAGAAGGGACTAGTAAAAGACTGTTTGCAGTTTACACTTTACTTCCAAAGTCCAGCTTTGCATTTCAATGTACCAGTACATATTATTACGTGTCTCAGCAAGGCTCTTATTCTCTAATTCTACAATAATGTACAATGATGGGTGAAAAATTATTACTCTTATTGTTAATTTCCTTCTCACAGTAGAGCGTTTTTTCATTTGAGTGTCATAAAACCAAAACCAAAACCATGATTGGTTTTGGTTTAGCATCTGATTGGTTGAGTAGGTGGCGCGAGTTTTTTTAAACCAATCACAGAACGTAGTAAAGCAAAACCAATTTCGGATTACTTTTGATACTCAATTGAAAATCGCTCTATCAGTGGTCAACTAAACTAAAACTGCTTGTGTTATATTTTTTGTATATTACAAAATTAATTTACATTATTTATATATTTGGGGGATTAACTATAAATTACTGATATTTCTGTCTCTGAGAATTGCTTGAGCTCATGATGCATGAACATTCATCAAAGGTTCCTCATTTATTTAGTAAGAATAATAGGTATAATTATGTAACTATCGTGTTTTCTTACACTGATGTGAACATTCTGTATGCTTACAAGTTCTACTGATGCGCTCTTTTCTGATTGGAAAGTATAAAAAACAATCAGAATTATCTGTTACTAGTCCTTTAACAAGGATTTAATTTGCCACAATTAATATTTTTTTTATAAACAGCACTTGCAAGCTAATTAGTTTTACTAAATGAAAATGTGAATGACGCAGTTTGTTGAAGCTGAGAACTGGCGAAACAAACTAGACTACAAGCAGTCCTTCTATTACCTTAGTTGGTCAAGCAAGAAGCGAAAAAAGTGAGAAGAAAAAAACAGCCATTTATTTTTTACTCCCTTTGGAGAACTGCTCATAGTCTACAAACCATTTACCTTAGCTTGCAATTTTAATGGAAACAAGAAATTTATGTAACACTAAGTTTTTTTGCAAGACTAAAGTACATAAATTAATAAAATAATGCCGTAAATTGAATGTATGAATGGTAAATGTTCTGAAAGGAAACTGATTTCTTTTTCCTCGCTTTCCAGGCTCCATGCCCCTATTTTGGTAGCCTGCGAACGCAGACATATTTCCGGCTCGAGTTTCCCCGTTCGCAGGCTACTACATTGTATATTTTGTTTGCAATACAGTCAACTCATATAAGACAGACACCTGGTGTTGGTCCCTACACACCATTTCTCTGTCATTTTGCTGTATATGAACTCTCTATAAGCAGACACCTCTCTAAGACGAGACAGTTGGTGGGCCGGTCCAGATGATGTCTGTCTTAGAGAGAGTTGACTGTACATGTATACATCTTAAACAACACGCTAAATTCAAATAAAAAGGCAGACTACTCACATAGTACAATAACTTTCTAGGAGTATTCATTATGTTTTAATAGAACTTTTAATATAACATATCAATAAATAATTTATAATACATAGTATATTAGATTTAAGAGCTCCCATATAATAGGACACACATCTAATCTCTAAATATTATCAATATTAATGAGAACTGAAAACCGGATAAATTGTTCAAAACAAAACAAAATTATTTTGTGCCATCATTTGAATCGGTACTATGTTTGCTTGAATACAGTACATCCTAAGATTACTACAGCCTGAAATGTTGAAATTTATGTGAATAATCAATCCAACATGCTTGTCTGTCTTCCAAGGATTATTGCACTTTTCGTGAAATCAAACAAATATTTGGAGACCACATACCATATTTCCTCGATTAAACGCCCACCCTTGATTTAGTGCCCCTATAGGTCATGAAATGTAAAATATAAACCCACCCCTCCCCTTAAAAAGCAGTCAAAATGAATGTATGAAGTAAGAGAAGGCAGAATTACTCCAAGTTTCTGCCCCAAAAAACACTGTATTTTAGGTAAAGCTGGTTTAATCATGGGCTAATGACAAGGAAAAACCTGAAATTTTAAATAAGCGTCCTCGGCGCTTAATCGAGGAAATACTGTAAGTGCCAGCGGATAATTTGCACGAGTTACAGGACTTGCTTAAAGAAGGTTCGACTGTAATTAACTATTTTTTGGCAACCCTTTGTAATTACAAGAATTATCAAGTGCTTTTTTTGTCCACTTCCACGTCTCCTCCATAGAACAGACTTGGGGGTGCAGTGAAATTGCTTGCACCTCTTGTTAGGATACCCTGGATAAATGATAAAGAAACAAGCTGATGATGAGATTAAAGGAAGGTCTGTACATTAATCTGGCCAACTAGTAACAGAGAAGGCTCGATTACCAGCCCGCTGTTTGGGAAAATGAGCCCACGCTCTTCCCCTGAATGCACTTCTCGGGGAGGAACGAGACCGGACTCAAGAGAGCGTCGCAAATCGAGCATAATAACAGAGAGATTCTTCGCTGTCTCGAGTGTCAGTAACCAGTGATTTTCACAGCTAGAAAATTAATTAAATCCTGGCCATGAACACTGCCAACAATTCCCCAGCCATTGATGTTAAAGACCAAATTCTCCCAGAGACAATTATAGGAAATGTCTGATAAACAATAAGGAGAATATCGATGCTGATCACAGGACTTATAAGTGTTCATGCTTACCCTTCTTTGTTGTTTCCTGTCTCCACTGCCACTGAGCAGCTGATTCAGGTTCGTTCACAGGGTAGATTATCTGTAACTGGGGACAAGATGGATCAGAGTGGCGGCGGAGCCGTTTTGTCTCCTCCCGGCTCTCATTTAATTGATTCTTGTAGATGTCAACCTTTGTACATCAATAAATCAAAATGATTAATCATATTAATTATAACAAAAAATTAGTTACCAAAAAAATACTCATAGCACAGTAACATTTTGAATACAGTTAAGAAGAAATGATCGATAAATTAGCTCCCAAGCTGACCCCGCGAGAGAAGTCATTACATATTTTAATTAAAAAGACGCTTCATGTCAGTTCAAAACAAAATGGCGTGCATTTTTATCATTTTTTCGAGGTTTGACATTAACTTTCTGGAGAATGCTTGAGAATTTAATTGCGGGGTCACTGGACAACTGAATTAAAGTGATATGTTTCAATAGTATTCAAAATGTTACGTCTATGAGTAGTTTTTTAGTAATTAATTTTTGCACTTATTGCTCGAACGTTGAGCGGAATCCATCTTAAAATTATGAAATTTGACAGCACCCTTGCTATTGAACCCCCGCTATCTTCAAACAATAATTTGCATTTAACTTGAGAGTTTGAGATAGTGGGTGTTTACTACATATAATACGTTGTCTACGGAACTTGATCATGTGTCATGTTGACTGACAGTGACATGTTTCCTTTGTCTACAGCCATACATCTAACAGAAAGCAACACCCATTTTGCTGATACATGTAGAAAGGGGAAAGTGACAATGAAGGTGAGTTAATTAAATGCAGGTATTGGTACATACACATATCTAGTATGCCGTAAAATTCCGTTAATATTTCCTTCTGAAAATAAGCTGTCACATAATAAGCCCCCCCCCAAAAAAAAAATCTCAAACACAAAAATCCTTTTTTAGATTTAGCTTTTGTAGAAAGCTATAACTTCTGATTATAAGCACCCTAATGTACAGCTTGTTTAACTTTTGTTCATTTGGCAACTGTATTATACATGTTTGAGTTTTGTTTCAATTTTTCATTGTGTTTAGAGTTTTGACGCAAAATCCCTTACACACATTCCTTCGATATTAAGCCTCCCCAATGATAATTATTTAAAGCCCCCCCCCCCCCCCCCCCAGAGAATCAGCCCACCAAATTTAGCCTTTTGGACAAATTATAAACCCAAAGCTACGCTATGTACTATTTAATTAGTAAATGCAGGTATTGGCACATATCTAGTATGCCGTAATAGTTTACCATAGTATTGTTCCATGTGCTGAGTGTTAGTTCAATCTAAAAAAAACTTGTGCTGGATTGAAGTGGCGGATGACTTCATCGCTGTAGGCTACGGTGACACATTTGAAGAGGCATCACAGAACACGACCGGTATCTGTTAGTGTTCCTCAGGCGATGCGAGGAACGGAACGTCCACCTCAACCCAGAGAAGGTTAATGCAGAAATGGGCAACCGGTTTGCCTACGCATCACGGGCGCTGACACCTGCGGAAACAAGATATGCCCAAATTGGAAGGAGCTTCTTGCAATAGTCTTTGTGTGTGACTGGTTTGATGCATATGTGTATGGTCGCCATCTGGTCAATGTTGAGACCGATCACAAGCCATTGGAGCGATATTCATCAAGCCTCTAGCATTCAGCCCCACAGCGTCTGCAGCGAATGCTCATGCGTCTTCAGAAATACAACCTACAGGTCAAGTACAAGACAGTTATTGCACAGTTTTGTTAACAATTATGAAATTTGACAGCACCCTTGCCATCTTGAAACCCCGCTATCTCAAAACAATATTTTGCATTAACTTGAGAGTTTGAGATAGTGGGTATTTACTGCATATAATACATGTATATGGAACTTGATCATGTGTCATGTTGACTGACAGTAACATGTTACCTATGTCTACAGCCATACATCTAACAGAAAGTAACACCCTTTGCTGATAGAAAGGTGGAAAGTGACAATGAAGGTGAGTTAATTATATGCAGGTATTGGTACATACATTGTACACATATCTCGTATACCGTAAAATTCCGCATAATATGTCCCCCTGAAAATAAGCTGTCACATAAATAAGCCCCCCCTCCCCCCCCCCCAAAAAAAAAATTCAAACACAAAAATCCTTCTTTAGATTTAGTTTTATAGAAAGCTATAACTTCTTCTGATTATAAGCACCCTAATGTACAGCTTGTTTAACTTTTGTTCATTTGCAACTGTATTATACTTATGTTTGAGTTTTTGTTTCAATTTTTCATTGTGTTTAGAGTTTTACTGTGCTTTATTGTTGTATACACG